GGGAAGGTGGGGAAGCACTGATTGGTGAGCGGTGGAGGAAGGTGAGGTCCAAGGGCCTTGACCACTGGCCCTGGAAGCTTGGATTGTGTCTGGAAGGCGGTGGGGAATGGCTTTAGGGCTTTTCCTGCTGCAGGGTGGGGATGGGGATCCACAGGTCTGGTCACCCCCCTGTGACTTCTCACCGTGTCCCACTGTGGTCCATCTGGTCCTGCCCCCCCCCCACTCTCCCTGCCTCCCTCCCTCCCCATCCCATGCACTTCTCCAGCCCCACTCGTTGGTCACCTCCTCCCACCTTTGGCCTCTGCCCTTTCTGTTCTGCCTGAAACACGCTTTCCCTCATCTTGGCCGGGGTGGCTGCTTCTTGTCTGCGCTCCAAGATCGCTGCTTCGGCTCCTTCGCTGACCACTGCTGTGTCCCTCCCACCGCTGCCCCCGCCGGCGATGCTTCGATGCTTCATTATCCCGCCCACTTGTTCAACGTCAGTCTGGTGTTTGGGGACGCTGCCTCCAGGACACCTGCCGGTCCTCACGGGCATGACCTCATCCCTTCCTTGCGAGGCGCCATTGGTTTACAGATGAGGGGACTGAGGCGCTGAGAAGGCAAGTCACTTGCCCAGGGTGACTTTGAGCGCCCTGTGTGCCGGAGCCGTGGGCTGGAGAGGAGAACCCGAGCGGGCACAGAGCCTCCTCTCTCTGCCTGCCCTTGGGCCCCGCCGGTCCTCGGAGGATGTTGTGACCTTGTTCCTTACCCTCCTGGGGACTCAGTGTCTCCAGCACCTGCCTCCCGGCCTCTCCAGGGACTCCCTGCTTCTCTCCCCTCAAGAGGGCCCTGTCTTAATGGTTCCTCCTCTGCTTGTCCCCAAAGCCCCGACTTCTGCCTGCCTGTTTCCCCTCCCACCTCCTCTTGGCCTGCTTTTGGCTGGGGGGCGTCCACCCTTGTCCCCACTCCTGGTGGAGCCTGTCAGGAAGTGCTGCCCAAGAGGGCCTTGCTCCTGCTCTCCCTTCTTCCCTGGGGCCTCTGGAGAAGGGAGTTAAGCCTTGCTAAGCCCCTACAGTGCACTGCTCTGCTCAGGGTGCTTGCATGTAATTCACCCATTAGCCCTGAAGGGAAGGTTAATTTTTGCAGAGGACCAATCTGAGGCTCAGAGAGGTTGTCATTTGCCTGAGGCCACACAGCATAAGCGGCAGGCCTGGTATTTGACTCCAGCAACCCTGTATGACTCCTCAGTGTCTGGAGCGCCCTCTAATCAAAAGGCTTTTCCATTCTGCTGGATTGGGGACCACGGGTGACATCCAGAGCTGGGCCTCAGATTCCTGACCTGGCAGGTTCCTGGTAGGAACCTTGGACTTCTCTTAGCGCATAGGTCCAAGGGGCTGCGTGAATGGCAGTCCCGGAGTTGTGCTGTGCACGGCTCTGGCAACCGGCCATCAGAGCCCGCCTTCGCCTCCCGGTGTCCAGCGTCTGCCTGGCTTGTCCAGACTGTGTCAGTAGCCTAGGAGTCCCTTAGACAATTGCTGTGAAATCCGGACTTGCTGCCTCTCCCCTCCTGTGCCCCTGAGCACAGACTTGGCTCTCAGTCACACTACGGGCCCCTCAGGTGTCTGTCTCCTTCAGGGCCCACCTCCTGAGGCTGAGAGTCAACTTGGTCAGGTGGGTCAGGCGGGAAAGAGCTTACACTTGGGTTCAGGTTCAGCCTGTCGTGCTGACAACAGTGCCACCTGCTGTTTCTGAGGCTCAGTTTTCCTACACCGCTAATTGGGAGCAGTGGGAATTGCCGTCTGCGCTTCACGGGGTGATCATGAGGACGCAGAACGTGTGACACGGCTACCCCGAGAGCCAGCATGCCCGCGCGGGGCTGGACCGTGGCTGTGTTTACATTCTCAAGTCTGGATTGGCAAATGTGTGGCTCACGGGCCACGACGGCCCAGCTGTGTGCTCGTGGTTGAACCAGGACACAGACCCACAGTCTCGTCGTTCTTTCTTTTTAATTGCAGAAAAACTCATATAGAGCATGATAAACCATTTTAAAGCACACAGTTCTGTGACATTTATGTTGTGCAACGATCGCCTCTGTCTCGTTTCAAAACTTTTCATCACCCCATAAAAAAAAAAAAACCCGTGTTCATTAAGTAATCACTCCCCATCCCCCCCTCCTGCAGCCCTGGTCACCTCTGGTCTGCTTCTTGTCTGTTTTGCCTGTTAAGGATACAGGACAGAAATGAAATCATGTAACATTGACCTTCTGTGTTGGACTTCCTTCACCTCTTTTTCTACTTGTTTTAAGGTTCATCCAGATGTAGCACGTGTCAGAACTGTTTTGTCGTTTGTTTTAATGACTGAAAACTATTCCATTATGTGGAGATGCCCCAACCTGTTTCTCCATTCATCTATCGATGGACATTTGGGTTAGAATTTTTCTTAGCACACAGTGCCGTGAACCAGTGGTCTCCACACTTTTGGTCGTGCTATTCTTTAGGAAAAACTTTTGAATCAATCCTCCCATTAAATGTAGATTATTTGGTTGATATACATTACTACTACACAGATCCAGTACATTACAGAACCCATGTAAAGTATGGACATCTTTGGGGCACCTGGGTGGCTCAGTCGGTTATGCGTCTGCCTTCGGCTCAGGTCATGATCCCAGGGTCCTGGGATCGAGCCCCGCATTGTGCTCCCTGCTCAGTGGGGGGGCTGCTTCTCCCTCTCCCACTCCCCCTGCTCATGTGTGCTGTGTCTCACTCACTCTCTCTCAAAAAATAAAATCTTTTTTTAAAAAAAAGTATAGACATCTTAGGAAGATGAGATTAAAAAAAATAATAATGCTTTTCATATCTTTTCCCACACTTGCCATGGGGTTACTGCCCATCCTGCATATTAGCTGAGGATGAAATGTGCCTGAAATTGTAGTTTCTTATTTTAGAAAAATTGGAAACCACAAAGAAGTGGAAAACAGACAATAAAAATACCCTCTGGCCCCTGCCTCATGCTCACTGAAGGCCGCGCCTGAGGCTCTGCCTGTTGAGTCTGGGCCTCTTCACCCTCACACAGTTTCAGGGGAGGTGAGAGGCAGGAGGAAAAAGCAAGAACTTTTTTTTTTTTTTTTAAAGATTTTATTTATTTGAGAGAGAAGGAAAGCATCCAAGCAGGGGGAGGGGTAGAGGGAAAGAGACAAGCAGACTCCCCATGAGCAGGGAGCCCAGTGCAGGACTCAATCCCAGGACCTTGAGATCATGACCTGAGCCGAAGTCAGAAGCTTAACTAACTGACCCACCCAGGCGCCCCAAAGCATGAACTTTAGAGTCCATCCCCTGGACTCTAAAAACTTAACAGTTTTATGACTCTGGTAACATTAATCAATACTCGTACCTTAACTGTCTCATCTGCAAAATGCTGATGATAACTGATGTATTAGTTAGCTATTGCTGTATAACAAAATATCCCCAAATGAAGTGGCTTAAAACAACAAACGTTTGTCATTTCCTAGTTTCTAATGTCAGGAATCTGCTTAGCCAGGTGCCTCTGCCTCAGGGTCTCTCACGGGTTACAGTGTGGTGTCAGCCAGGGCTGTGGTCTTATCTGAAGGCTGAGGGTGGACCCATTTTCAAGCTCACCTACATGGTGCTGGCCGACTCGATTCCTTACAGGCTGAGGGGCTCCGCTCCCTGTTGACTGTTGGCTGGAGGCCTCCCTCAGTTCCATGCCACATGGGCCTCTCCACAGGGGCTCAAAACATGGCAGCTTCTTCCATTAGAGCGAGCAAGTAGGGAGTGGCAAGAGAGGGTAAACAAGGTGGAAGCCAAAGTCTTTGTAATCTCCTCGCAGAGATGTTACCTATCACTTTTTGTGATATTCTGTTTGTTAGAAGTGAATCACAAGGCCCAGCCGCATTCAAGGGGAAGGAGGTTGTACAAGGCTGTGAATACCAGGAGGTGGGGGGGGGGGTGGAATCTCAGCCGGCTGCCTGCCCAGCTGCAATAGACCTGTCACAGGGGGTTATTGGGTTAAATGAGGTATGTGCACTGTACTTGGGGGAGTGCAGGTTGCCCTGTAACTGGCAGGATTGTGACCGGTGTTATTTTTTTTTTAATTACTGTATTTATTTGTGAGAGAGAATGAGCGATGGGAGGGGCAGAGGGAAGGAGCCCCATGCAGACTCCCTGCTGAGCGCAGAGCTGGCCACGGGGCTTGATCCCAAGACCCCGAGATCATGACCTGAGCTAAAACCAAGAGTCAGAGGTTTAGGGGCACCTGGGTGGCTCAGTCAGTTAGGCGTCTGCCTTCGGCCCATCTTCATGATCGGAGATGGGGCTGGGCATGTGCCAGCATCCAGAGGACTCAGCCTTGGCAGGTCCACCTCCCAGAAGGGCATGAGACCGACCACTCATTCTGGGAGGCTAAGTCCACAATTCTAGAGGAATCTTTTTTTTTTTTTTTTATTTTTTTTTTTTATTTTTTTTTTAAAGATTTTATTTATTTATTTGAGAGAGAGAATGAGAGATAGAAAGCACGAGAGGGAAGAGGGTCAGAGGGAGAAGCAGACTCCCGCAGGAAGCCGGATGTGGGACTCGATCCCGGGACTCCAGGATCATGACCTGAGCCGAAGGCAGTCGCTTAACCAACTGAGCCACCCAGGCGCCCAATTCTAGAGGAATCTTGATGCCAGGGCCCAGGAGGACCTCTCAGGGCCTGGCTTGTGGGATGGTAGTGCCAAATCTGTGGTCAGAGCGTCCTTAGAGCCTGAGGCTGAGGAAAGAAGTGATTGTCCCCTCCCATGCTGTGTGACCCCAAGCAAGTTGCCCTCCCTCTCTGGGCCTCCCCTCTGACATGCCTGCTTAACAGCAGCCTTGTGGCTGATTGGGGTGAAGAGGGCTGGCTGGGGTGGGGGCAGACAGCAGGCCGAGGGGAGTAGCCGCCCCTTCTCCAGACCTGGTGCTGGGTCGGGGCCGGCCTGGGTCTCATGCCCAGCCCCTCCCCCTCCCCCTCCCCCTCCCCGACAGGTGTTCTCCATTGTGGTGTTCGGCTCCATCGTGAACGAGGGCTACCTCAACAGCAACTCAGGGGGCGAGAAGTTCTGCATCTACAACCGCAACCCCAGCGCCTGCAGCTATGGTGTGACCGTGGGTGTGCTTGCCTTCCTCACCTGCCTGCTCTACCTGGCCCTGGACGTGTACTTCCCCCAGATCAGCAGCGTGAAGGACCGCAAGAAAGCCGTCCTGTCCGACATTGGGGTCTCAGGTGAGTCCCCCGCCCCCGTGGGCACCCCCCAGCACGACAGAGACTGCAGAGGGCTGCCCCAGCCATGGGCCCAGCCGCTCCTCACGCACAGCTATGAGGCGGGTGAGGGGACAGCCTGGGGGTCACCTGGCTGGCAACAGGGAGTGGTGGACCCAGGGCTGGGCCTGAGACGCTAGAAGAGCCCTCAGCTCCACAGCAGGGAGGGGACAGGGCTTCTGTGCCACCTCCCTTGGTGGAGCCTCGTGAGAAGTAAGGCTAGACTGATGGCATGGCTCACAGTCCGGGCCCGGGGTGGGTCGGGGCCTGACGTGACCTGCTGCCCCTGTCCTCCAGGAACAGTCTTTGGTGGAGGTAACCCGACCTCTCTCCCCACGAGTTCTGAGAGTCTGATCACTGGGTGCTTTGGTTGAGCGGCAGTGAGGCTTTGGCTGTGGTCTCAGGTCTCTGGCTGGGACCTCCCCCCATTACCGGGCCTGGGACTCTCAGGATGAGCCTGGCTGACTTGTAAGCAGTGAGGCCAGTCCCTTAGACTTGAACGATAGAATGAAATTAGTAGTTCTCAAACTGTATTCCCCGGAGCCCCAGGGTTCCGCAGCAGTGCCTGTGGAAGATGTTGGTCTCTAGATACCACAGCCCTTTGGCACACACACGCTTTACTGGAGCAGCTCTGGTTCTCTCTGGGTAGACTCTGGGCACCCACAGAAGATCCCATTGCCACGAGGCTCTCACTGCTAAACTCCCCAGGCCTCTGCTCAAGAGGCTCCTCCCTAACCTCGGGCTTTGTGAGGCCGCAGGCACATGAGAAGCCGGTGCTCAGACCCGCGCAGCTGAGCCGCCCCCCCTGCCCAGCCTCCTCATCCTCCTCCCTCTGCCCAGTTCTCAGGGAGGCTGCAGTGGGCCGGGGGGGGGGGGGGTCCGATCAGTGCCCCTCCCAGACTGCTGCAGGGCGGTCAGCGCTCCCCAGGCAGGGATGCAGCTGGGAAATCTGTACGAGGCTGTGGTGACAGAAATGCCCGCACAGGCTGACTGACTTTTCTCTGTCTCTCCCTCCTTCGCTCCCCTCACCGCCCCTGGCTCTCCTCCCCGGCTCTGCTCCGGGCCTTGCTGTCTGCACGGCCGGCTCCTGTCTGTGGTCTGTCTCCCGCTCCGCGTCTGACCGACCTCCCTGCTCTGGTCTCACCTTCCTGTGCTCCCCTCTCTGCCCCTCCCTTTGGGGGTGGGGGGAGCATGGGAGATGTGCTCCTGAACCTCCCCCTGTTCCTCCCCTCTCGCCCTCTCTCTCTCTCTCTCTCTCTCTCTCTCTCTCTCGTGTGGCCCCTTCTGCCTGCTCCCGGTGGACACCCCAGCCTTCTGGGCCTTCCTCTGGTTCGTGGGCTTCTGCTTCCTGGCCAACCAGTGGCAGGTGTCCAAGCCCAAGGACAACCCGATGAATGAAGGGACAGATGCGGCCCGGGCTGCCATCACCTTCTCCTTCTTCTCCATCTTCACGTGGGTGAGTATACCGCGGGCCCGGCGCGCACTCCCCTGCCCCAGCCAGGCTCCCAGGCTGCGGGTCTTGCAGCTTAGCCAGGGACTCTTGCTTCCTGGGGCCCGAGTGGCCCCCTGTGTCTCTCCTGGACGCTCACACAGGGCTTCTTCCTGAGGAAGGAGGCTGTTGCCGGTGCCGGTGAGGACAGTCCCGTAGTGGCAGGAGACCCTTGCTTTGGCCCAGAGCACCCTCCAGTGATCATGAACGCCCCTCCCAACCAGTCTGGTGTTTGGGTTGTGGGCGTTTACCATGAGCTTTTATAAACACTAGCGGAGGCGTAGGCAGGAAGTTAAGGCTTTGCAGTCCCGAGGCTGGGAAGGAGCCCAGGCCTAGGCGTCAGGAGACCTGGGCCACATCTTGGGGCTGCCTCTAATTGTCCGGGCCTCTGTCTTCCCGTCTGTAAAATCAGGCGATTGGATTTGGGGTGGGAGGGTGTCACAAACTCAGATGCCCACGGGGCGGGCAGCACATGAGGAATGATGAGTGGGCCGGTGGCAGGTACATGCCCCCCCAAAAGGGCACCCTCAGCCCCTGTTCCAAAGCAGGCCAGGTCTTCCCGTTTTCCAGAGAAGCCAGAACTCTGAATTTCTGTGTGAAATCTGATCTTTATGTGTTAGCAATTTATTCAAGTTAAAAAAAAAAAATACCATGTGAGTCAAAGAAAGCATGTCTCTGGGCCTGACTGGCCAGATGGCACCCCTTGGCAAGTTCTAGAGCTAGGCTGGGCCCTCTTTCCCACTGGTTCCAGGTCGCCTTGATGTATTTCTTCTCCCCTCATCTTCCTCCTGCAGATGTCTGGGGTCACATGGGCTCCAGGCCCGCATCCCAAAGGTTCTCCCTCCCCTGCGTGCAGCCCCTTCCCCTCCAGGCCTCCCCGCAGTCCTGGGCCCAGCCTTTTGCAGGGAGCCCCTGGGGCTGGATATGGGCAGCCCCAGCCCCTCCTGCAAAGTGTGCTGCAGCCAGCCCTCCCTGTCCCTCTACCCTCCTGGGCTTGTCCTGGAGTGACTTCCTGCACCTAATGAGGGCCCCTGAATATCCATTTTCTCTTGGGACCCCGCCCCCCCCCCCCCCCCCGCCCCCGCCACCAGTGCAATATTAGGAGCCAGAGTTTGGAGGACCCCCCCCCCCCCCCCCGCCACAGCTCCCCAGCTGTGGTCACACCAGCCCTCCAGGTCCTCAAGGCTGGTCGGAAGAATCAGGTGACCCCAGGGCATCTCAGACCCGAGAAGGTGCCCCTTGTGTGGGGACGTCCCAGCCCACCCAGCCCTACAGGGAGGTGTTTGGAACAGTGAGCCCCGAGATGGGGGTGGGGCTCACGGAAGAGGAGTGGGTGATTGGACAGCAGGACTTCCAGGGGCAGGTCCCAGAGCCTGACTGACAGGAGCCCGCTGGCCCACGGCTGGCTTCTGCCTTTCCCAGCTCTTCCCCACTGGCCTCACCCCTGCTCTCTCCTGGCAGAGCCTGACCGCAGCCCTGGCCGTGCGGAGATTCAAGGACCTTACCTTCCAGGAGGAATACAGCACACTGTTTTCCACCTCGGCACAGCCGTAGGCCTGCCCGGCTTCCAGAGGCAGGGGCGCCCCGTGTCATGGCCAGTGGCAAGGTTGTGGGGGCAGCCTGCTGCCGGGAGTGGCCAGGACACCAGGGCCCGCGGGGCAGGAGAAGGCCGGCTGTGAGGCCCGTTCAGACCCGCCACTTAGTCACTTGTTGCCTCCTTTATGTTTCGTTTGTCCATTCATTCAGTAAACATTTATTGAGCTGTTTTGTGCCTGGTGATGAATCAGACGGGGGGGCCTGGCCCCAGGAGCCCACAGGCTGGGGAGGGGAGGACAAACAAATCGCAGTTTCCCCTAGCCAGACTGCTAGTGGCTCTGAGATGGGGGGGGGTGGCTCATACATGGGCTGCCAGGATGCTGTGGACACTGGGAGAGCCTGTCCCTCGCTGCAGCATGAAGGCTGACCTTACAGTCCCCGTGGAGGCTGGCGGCTGAGGGGGACAGGCCGAGCTCGTCAGAGGACGCCTTGCCTGGCTCTGCTCTTATATGCTGTGTGACCCTGGGCAAACCCCTGCGCCTCTCTGAGCCTCCGTCCACTACCCAGTGGACCAACCTCGCAGGGCTGTTGTGCGGATGAAGCAAAGGCCGGCGCAGGGCCTGGCACAAAGATGCTCAATAAATGTAGGTTCTTCTGTTCTTTCATGCATGCATTCATTCATTCATTCATTCTGTGCCAGGAGTCAGAGATACCTCCATAATCCCTACTTTGGGGACAGTTCTCATGGGGTGAATCCTTATTCTTCCAAAAGACTCTGGCCTCCAGTTCCATACAGCCTCCAGCTTCCCCAGGCAGGAACCACCTATCCCTCCACCCTCTGTAGGAACTGAGCGGGTATTAAAGCAAACAGGGCCCCAGAGCAAAGCACAGAGTAAGCTTCCTAACACGAGAGGCATACAAGTGCAGACGGCTGCAGATAGTGTACCCGCTCTGAAGGAGCAGGGCCAAGCTCACCAGCAGGGTCCGTCTCACCCCCCCCCCCGCGCCACTTCCATTCCCACCCCCACACCGCCCAGGCTCTGGTGTTGTGACCTTGAACCGGCTGACCAAGGGAGGCCTGATTTCCTCAGCTCAACCCTGGTCCACCTGGTCCACCTTTCTCAGGCTCCTGCACTGCTTTAAACAGCCACCATTCAGGAAGGGCTGCCCCTCAGAGCTTTTACCAGTGACACAAATCGAAAGTCAGTGCCTAGTCACTGGGCTTCTGGAACTGTCTAGAATAAAATGCCAAGCACACTTCACCCCCTGCCTGTCACCAGATGGCCTTTTGGGGTTCCTCATTGGTTTATTGCCTTGTCAGGGGGCTGATGAAAGGGAAAGAGATGGGGAGGGCCCTGGCCTGGGAAGAGGCAGGACCTCTGTGTTCAGATCTGGCTTCTGGCACTGACTCTGCCATGAGGTTTCCCTTAACTAAGCCTCAGTCCTTCCAGCCCAAAAGCGGGTATGTAGAGTATTAGCATCTTTCCATCACAGGCAGACCACCTGCTGGAAAGATCTTTGGAGGCGGCTTTCAATGTAAACCTAAAAACTATTTTTTTTTAAGATTTTATTTGTTTATTTGACAGAGAGAGACAGTGAGAGCAGGAACACAAGCAGGGGGAGTGGGAGAGGGAGAAGCAGGCTTCCCCGAGGAGCAGGGAGCCCGATGCGGGGCTCGATCCCAGGACCCTGGGATCACGACCTGAGCTGAAGGCAGACGCTTAACCATCTGAGCCACCCAGGCGCCCCTAAAAACTATTTTTTAAAATTTATTCCCTCGCTCGGTGTGGTCAGTGTCATTGTCCTTAATAACAGTGTGATAGTTTTTACTGAAAAAGAATTTCCCACCTACATACATATGCTGTAGACAAGTCTTTCCCAACTAGGTCCTGTGGGGAAAGGGCTTTGTTGGTCAGGTAAGGTTGGCACATGCCCCTTGTCATAGTTTTCCCCTTGGGGATCCCAGCATACATCCGTCACGGCTCTGACAAGTCCTGTGGACTTGAAACTTATTTTACTCTGTTCCCAAACTTGTTTGACCGAATGTTTTAGTTAGAATCAGGTTCAGCCGCAAGTGAAACTGTAAATTGCAGTGGTTTAAATGCAGCCCAGTGCAGGGCTGGCCTAGTGGCTCCAGAGGCCTTTCATGACCCAGGCCTCTTCCATCCCTCCAGTTTGGCTCATGGACCTTGCGGTCCCGTGTGGCAATTAGAGCTCTGGCTACCACATCTGCATTCCACGAGTCAGGTCAGAGGGTGGGACAAAGGACCTGGGGTGACGTGCTGGCCAGAACTTCGTCACGTGCTTACACCTAGCTGCAAGGGAGACAGGATGGCTTTTAGGAGATACCAACAGTTCTCTATCCCACCGAGAACGCTTTTTCCCCATTCCACCTAACACCCCTGAGACCACGGTTTGAGAAGGATGTCGTGGCCTTTGGGCCATTTTAACGCTCCACCGCAGAGGATGCTTGGGGACCCATCATGACCTCTGGGGTTGGGGCACCTGGGATGGGTGACTTCTGAAGGTCTTTCTGGCTGGATGGACAGTGTGGCTCTGGATCTGTTGAGGGCTGGCCGCCAGGACAGACCCCCCCCTCAGGCAAGCTTGGTTTCATCTTCGGGTCTTTGAGGATATTTAACCCCTACTGCCTGCGTCCTGTGAACTAATTGCCCCTAACCCGCTGTTCTTGTCTGTCTCTCTCCTCTAACCGTCCCCTCCTGCCTGTCCTTGTCGCCCCCGGCGCCCGTCCCCAGGCGGGCCAGGCCGTGCTGGCCTTCCAGCGGTACCAGATCGGCGCCGACTCGGCTCTCTTCTCCCAGGACTACATGGACCCCAGCCAGGACTCCAGCATGCCTTATGCCCCCTACGTGGAGCCCAGCACCGGGCCAGACCCCGCCGGCCTGGGCGGGACCTACCAGCAGCCGGCCAACGCCTTTGACCCCGAGCCCCAGGGCTACCAGTCTCAGGGCTACTGAGCTGCAGTGACCGCCTGCCCCTCGCCTGTCCCCTGCCCCAGTCCCAGCTGCCCCCCCCCCCCCACCCACTCCCAGACCCCTGCTCTCGCCCAGGCTGCCCTGCCCAGCGCCTCCCCCCCCCCTGGGTTGTTCCCCTGAGGTCCAGGGCAGCTCCCCAGGGTGGGATGGGGCGGTGGGGTGTTGGGTGGGGGCGCATCTCCACATGTGCACGAGTCTGTCCAGCAGGGGCTGGGGGCGTTAGCATTTGTGCATTGTGTCACTGAGCATTCATGGGGTGCCTACTGCGTGTCAGCTATGTGCTTGACACCAGTGGTGAGAGACCAGGGGTCCCGGGAAGGGCGAAGATGAGGGACAGAGGAGCCCCAGTGGTCCCGGAGGTAGGAATCGGTGTGAAAGATAGACCTGGATGATGCTGGGAAGGCTTGGCTCCAGGGTGGGTGGAAACGCCTGCAGGACATCAGGGGCTGTCACCCAGCCCTACTACGAGCATGCATGGGGGCTGTCTCCATTTTATGTTGAGGACACTGAGGCCTGGAGAGGTCAAGGTCCCTCGTCCAGGGTCACTCAGACAGCCAGTGATAGAGTCGGGGCCAAGCCCCGGCCGCCTGACCGGAGAGAGAGCCCCTGCCGTCGCCTGTCCTCCCTGCCTTCCCCGTCCCTGAGGCTGGGGCTCCACCGCTCGGTGCTCCCGTCACTCTGGGAGGCCTTGGAGACCTCAGCCCATGATATAACCCTGATTCTGCTGCAAGCCAGGGGCCTGTTCTGCCTCCAGGCCCCTCTCCCCACATCCCCGCCGGCCCCTCCCCCAGCCGCCAGTCAGGGTGGGAGGGCCAAGGGGGCTCGCCTCACTCGCTTGTTTCCCCAGGTACTGCTCCATGCTGTGCGTGCCCCACCGGGAGCTCCAACACCCTCTTTGCGGCCTCCCAAAGGACTGACCATTGTCCCTGCCCAGGGCTGGGTGGACGAGGAGGCCCAGAACGGGGAGCGACCGGCCCAAGGTCACAGTGAATAAGTGGCAGAGCTGGGCTTGCTTCCTGGGTTTCTTGGCCCCAGCCACCCAGCAGGTGCCCCGATTCCCTGCCCTGCCCTTGTGACCTCCCAGGAAACAGAACTGATCTGGGACACTGTGTATTCTTTCCCTCAGCCGGGGTTAGCCAGGGTCTCAGGGGCTGGAACAGCCAAGGGCACGGAGAGTCCTTCCACTGGCCTTCCAGAAGGCCTGATGAGAGGACAGTCTCTGTGAGAGTCAGAGTAGAGAGGGTGGGGGCTCTGGAGCCAGCAAGGCCAGCCTTCGAGCTGCTGCCATGGGACACACTGCTCCCAAAGTGAACGCTGAGAGTCCCTGGTGCGCGGTGGGCTGGGGGAGGCTGTAGCAGGTGTCTCCAAAGGCACAAGGAGGGTTGAGGCAGGGAGGGACTCTTGCACAGGTGGACTCTTCACTGAACCTTAAAGGACGGGGAGGTCTTAAAGGAGAGAGAGAGGTGTGGGGAGACATGGGTCCCTGTGTCCACTGGCCAGTGACCCGGGGAGCAGGGCCAGGGGATCGTGGCTTGGCACCGTGCTGGATGTTCCCACCACCAGCACCCCATGCCTCCACGAGAACCCTCAGAGGCAGGGGATACTCACTTGCCCTTGGACTCAGCAGCTATCCTGTGCCAGAAGGCATGCAAGCTGGCCGTCCAGAGATGAGCACCAAGCCAACCTCTGTACCCAGGGTCCACCAGAGGGCAGAGTGCTATCCGAGCGCTTGCCAAGGGATGCGGCGCCCCTAGGAGGGGCCAGGAGGATGGGCAGCAGTTAGCACGGTGGTGAGGGAAGGAGAAGGAATTTCCTAGGTTGAGAAGTAGCGTTGTTGTCCCCACTTAACAGAAGGGGAAGCTGAGGCTCAGAGAATGTAAACGAGTTAGCAGTGGAGCATGGATCTGAACTTAAGCCTGTTCCCCAAGTCCTCATAAGGGGCAGCAGAGACAGGAGAGAATCTCAGACAGCTGAGCAACAACAGGTCTTTGTGGACTTCAATTTTCCACATCTGGGGAAGGGGCTCTGTCTCTGGTACCCCCGCCCCCCCCAGTGGCCCAAGTGGGCATGGGATGGGGTTGTGGCATCTACCGGGCCAAGCAGCCCCCCCCGTACCAGACCAGGTTTGCAAAGCAGGTAAGGGTGTGGGTGGTTGTGGGTGCGCTTCTGGCAAAGTGAAGCTCTGTGCCCATGCGGGAGGCTGAGAGAGGTCCTTCCCCGCTCCCACTCC